TGAGGTTACAGAGAGACCAGGGTTATGCATGTGTCAGTGGCTTCGAGGGAAACAGGAGAACAGCTTTTTAAAAAAAAGTTAAAGGCCATTTCTTTTAACTGCTTTCCTTCATTGTTTAGCATTATAACTTCTTTTGAACTAAGGATTTTGGCATAGAAGGATTTTTGCTTTTGTTTGACAAGGATAGAGGCAACAAAGGATTAATTAAGTCAAACTGATGATGATAATTATCAACAGGCATTTTAAATTAAAAATTTTAGGGGTGGAACAGTAGTGTGGATGAGACAGCAAAGCAAAGTCAACCTCTTATTCATCAAAAAGTATCTTTTGATTACCTACTCGATGGCAGGCTCCATGTTCTGTGGACAAAGTCTGGCCACATAAAGCCTGGAGTCTAGAGGGGAAACCAACACTTACATCAGTCAGTACAAGAAAGTAAAATGTGTGTGATAAGTGAAAAGTACACTATGCAGCAAATAGTAGGAGTAACTAATGGGTCTAAGTTTACCTGAAAGTCGTAGGAGTGATTATTCTGGCTTAGGCAGTGAGAGAGCGGTGGGTTTAGGCAGAGAAAACATGTGCAAATGTCCTGAGGCAACAGAAGATACCTTAGAAGACTTGAAGCCAATTCATTACAACCTGAGTGTGCAAAGGAAAGGGGAGAATTTTTGCTTTTGCCTGGCAAGGATAGAGGCAACAACAGATTAATTAAGTCAAAAATAATGACATCAGAGGGCTGCATGGGAGCTAGGTCGTGAAAGACCTTGTCAGCAGCTGTGTGACGGAGACTGGGTTTCCCGCCAAGAGCAGAGGGAGGTCAATAAAGATTGACAACAGAGGAGGAGGCACGGGAGAGAGGGCTGCTGGCTGTGGGAACCCAGCAAGTCAGTCTCTCTGAGTCTCTGTTGCCTCATGGTAAGAGACAATAAGGGCCACTGTGAAGAGTAAATTGATCATTTCATGCAATATTCTTAGAATAGAATATTGGAAGCATCAGCTTTTATAAGAGTAATATGACTGGTGGGATGTGTTACTGTCAGGTGCAGTGCTCAAACAAGCCTTTCATTCCAGCGGTCTCTTGAGAACTGCTTCTCTGGGGCAAGTACTGTAGTGATGCTTTGCCCAAAGCCCCCCAAATCACACATAAGTTTCCACCGGGCTTGTCCTATTGCACCTCTGTCCTAGAGCAAGCTTTTTCACTGCCCGTAGACAAGGTCTGCAAGTCTCCGAGTCTGTGGAAGGCAGGCTGTCCAGGTGCTACATCAGGGAGGGGCAGCAGGTAGAGTCCAGGGCACTGGGCATTCAGCAGTGAACTGCTGGCCAGTGGCCCTGGGAGGCCTGCACTCCATCTCAGCCTGGAGCCCACCAAGGCTTCTCTTTTTCAGAGGTTACTGTGAGATGTCGGGGACTCACCCCAGAAGCCTGCATCTGAATCTTTATGCCATGTATTTCTTTGTTGTGCTGCTTTTTAAAAGCCTACAAGATTTTTTGATTTTGCTTTGGTGAGGCCTGGGAGCGGTAATACTTAAAAATATCACCCTGCTTCATCAATGTAGAAAACTCCCAGGAAATTCAGTTCCCTGGAGAGCTTCGCTCTTGTCTCCTTGGTATGCAATTTTAGAGAGTCGGTCAAAATACATGTAGGTGTGAGGGACAGTTCTTCTAAACATGCAGACTGTGGGACATGAGAGTTAAGGTCACATTCATGCCGTGCTCATCTTCTGACCCTGGGCCTCTGAGGATGAGGACAGGACCCCTAATACAAGGGTACCAGACAAAGCAGACTCTGTTCTGAGAATTTCTTCCCATTAAAGACAGAATCTCACATAATGCTGAGTCCCCACCCTGCTTAGGGGCCTTGTGTGGTTGTTTGCTCATAAATTATCTTTTAATTTATTAAACCTATGAAGTAAACCTATGATTCTCATTTTTGCCACAGTGGAAAAATGCATCCCAGAGGGGTCTATAGATTGGATCAGAATTTCATATGGGTAGTTTTACTCAAAAGCCCCCGGGTTCCCTATACGCCTTTGCAGTTAGATCCTGACGTGTGTGAATCCCTAAGCTATCACTACATGGCCCTGTGACCCTAGACAAGCTACTTAACGTTGCTGTGATTCCTTACCTAAAAAATGGATAATAAAAACAGTCAGCTAGTAGGACCACTGTGAGTAAAATGACTTTGTGCTTGTAATTTACTTAGGACAGTGCCAGGTGATTAGTAAGTGTTATAAGCAAGTTAGCCGTTACTGTTATTATAACTGGAAAGATAGAAAAGTCCCAGTATCATCAGAGCAAAATAGGATCTTGCTCAAGGTCTCTGGGCTGAAAGTATATACATACATAACCAAATAAATATACACACAAAAAAGAAAAAGACAAAGAACATTCAATACCCAACCTCAACAGCTCATTCCAAGAAATCTTCCCTTAAAAAAAAAGAAAGAAAGAAAGAAACCAACCTCCAAAGCAGATACATGAGAAATGCTGGGTTTTAAAAATTGTTTTCCAGTAAGAGCTAATTCCTTTATTTACGTCTCTCACACCCCCTGTCATTTCCCTGCAGCTTCATTGAGGATCTGGATGAGCTGAATTCTACCGTCTTAGTCCCATGATTATCTGCCATTATTATTGGCATCCTGAAATAGGCTCATCCAGAGAATTTCAGAGGAAGAATTTTAGAGGAACTTTACAGTCATTAAAAGCTTCAGCCTCAAAATTTATTCAGCTGATCCTCAGCTACAACTGGGATAAGGGAAAGACAAGGATTTTGTGACAAGCCTTAAAGGGCCTCAGCAATGCATCCTAAATTGTAGCCGTGGTTGTGGGCCCAGAACTTTCTATAGGCTCTTCTCAGAGTTCCTTGTCTGATGAATTCAGTTCAGTTAGCAAATCTGTATTCATCATTTACTTTTGCAAATAGTTATGAGGAATTCAGGAAACTTTTTATCTCTGTATGAATGGAAAAGCGGTATACCCTTAAAGCTTAAAGACTTGAGAATGGGTTATCCTGTGTATTTCAGGCTCTAGGCAACATTCTTTTTTAAAAGGTACAAAACCAGCAAGACCAAGCACAGGAAACAGAGCACAGGGTTAAAGCCAAAAAAACAGATCTAATTTGAAGTCAGATTTGTTCTTCCCTATTACACTTCCTCCTCACCTTCTACATCTGATCCATCAACCCATCCTGCTGACTGCACTTCCAGATAAATCCTGACACTGTCCCTTCTCCCCAGCCCACCTCTGCCACCCTCACGCAAGCCATGTCCTCTCTCCCCAGGTGACTGCAGTAGCCTCCACTGTTCTCTTGCTTTCCCTCCCACTCCCCTACCATCCCTTTCCATACAGCAGACACAAGGATCTTTTAAAAATACAAGTCAGATTTTATGACGTCTTTGCTGGAAACTTTCCATCAGCTCCCTTCCATTGTCCTGAGGATATGGTCCAGACTCCTTGCTCCAGCCCCCTAACATGTGGGATCTGGCCCTCGTCTGTCTTCTAGAATCGCTCTCTTTGAAGGTCTTGCCTACAAAGCTCCATCCACTCAGGCCTGTATCTTTCCTCAAACAAGATGAGCCCATTGCATACTGAGGCTGGACCTTTTCATGACTAGCTGCTTCCTGACATTAAGATCTCTAGGTCAAGGGCACCTCCTCAGAAGAGGGCTTCCCTAACCATCTCCATCTGAAGTGGCTATTTATTCACTCTCCTCCATCACCCTCTTTATTCTCTGTGTAGTTCTTGTCACTCTCTGGCTTTTTTAATGGTCTGTCTGTTATGTGTTGCTGACCATCACCAGAATGGAAGATCTCTGAGGGTAGGACCTGGCCTGTCTTGTCCTTCACTGTGTCCCAGTGTCCAGAAGAGTGTCACACATAAGAGCATCTCAGTAAAGCTTGATGAATACGTGGGATCCCGATCATTTGGTCAGGTGACGCTGCTTCTTCAGCCTGAAAACCACAGTCCTCAGGACCCTTTTCTCTCTTTGGGAAACTTCACACTATGTTAACAATGCTCCATTGCCATTGGGAAAGAGAGAGCAGTGCTGAGGGCCGAGGATGGAGAGCGAGTCAGGGCCTCATCAAAATGCCCTGGGACCCCAGGATAAGCAGCGTCGACCTACCTGTAGACAGTGGAGAACCACAGAAGCAGGGCACCATCAGGTGTGTACCGAGGTCCCACCAGACATAAAATCCTTCTGGAGGGGAGACTTGAGTTAACTGGGAAGTGGCTTAACGCCCTAAATGGACCAACTGAAAAATGAAGTCACCCACTTCACCTGTCCTGAATAAAACAATAGGAGTTCCCCCCGTCTCCTTTGAGTGGGGGTGCAGGCTGGAGGCGGGGCAAAGGCAAAGGTCCAGGGCTAAGGGGGATGGGCAGTTTGGAAAGGAGTAGGGGCCACCCTGTGGGTGGAACGAGAGAGGAAGTGGGGCAAACACTGTCACAAAGGCTTTATCAGGCTGGACCACCTCGAAGGCAGCTGTGAATGTCTCCCCAGTCAGTGTATTCCAGATGCCTCCTTCGCCAGGCTTCACTCTACTCTGTGGCTCCAGGCGTGGGCCTTGCAGACAACAGGGGTTCAGGGCTGGCTTTTGACTGAATGAATGAGTGAAGCAACAGAGGATGGTTCTAGAAAAAGGACGAAGACAGGGGATAAAAATCCTGCAGAGACCAGCATTGTTAAAAGCCTGGAGCTGGGTGGTGGCTGAGGGAATAGACAAGAGGCAGTGCCTTTAAGAACTATTCTGATGGGACTCAGGGCACTGATTGCCTGTGAGGACTGAAGGAAAAGAAGTGGGTCAAGAATGACTCTGAGGCTTTTGACCCAGGTAACTGGACTTTAAAAGGAAGAACAAGCTTTTGAGAAAAGGATAATGAATTTGGTGTAGATCCCATGAAGCACTTTATTTTTTCACTAGAGTAGAGTTTTAAGTCCCTTACAGCCAAAATAATCCATATTTATTATAAGAACAAATATATCAAAGAACACTTAGAAATGCAATTAAATTTGTTTATTGAAGCACTATAGATAAACTGTGAGTAATACAGATTGTTTTCAGCGTCATATAGGTGCCACACATTTCTCCTGGTACTAGATGATGGATAGATAGATAGCCAAATAAAACACAATAGTAGAAGGAATCTAGAATAGTAAATTTTGTCACTAGAAGTCTCTCTAGATATCAGCAAACCCAATCCCATTTAACAGGTGAGGAAGCAAGGACCAGAGAGACTAGCGTTCTCCACTCGACAAATGTTTAGGGCACTGACCACGTGCCAGGCACTTGGTGCTGGGCATATAGAGGTAAACAAAACACGGTACCCGTATTCACGGAGCTCACAGCCAGGCTAGTGAGTGAGGGTGTCTGGGAAGCAGGAAATTTAGACACAGCCTAGTAAGTATTGTCAGAATAGCATATTCCAGCTGCAAGGTGCACCCAATCCAGGCTTGGGAGCAGCTCTCTGAAGCCATGTGTGAGCTGACCTGAGAAGGATGAGCAGAAGTCAGATAGACCGAGAGGTTGTGAAGCAGTGCCCCAGAGATGCGGGTGAGGAGAAGCATAGTGTGTCTAGTGAAGCAAAGGAGTTCCCGTGCAGGGGACTTCTCGTCCTGGGTTTCAGAAACAGTGGTCTCCTGCCTCCCAGTTCAGTGCTATTTTTAGAATGCCACCTGTCTTTCTAGGTCTACTGACAAATAGGTGATGACTCAGCACATATATTAATACTCTTGCATAGAACAAAAGGAGCATACGTGGCTCATGCTTACCCATATATAGACATTAAGGTTTTCCAAACTCTTCTGTGCAAAATCTATCTTTAGAGGAATAATTACCTTGTGTTACAGCCTTTCATTTCCTCCCAAATATTTACATCCATTGGGTCATGCCATAAAGCTCTTAAATCTGGAAGGGATTTTTAGGGATCCCTGTGTCAGTGGCCAAGGGAGCACAGGGTGAGGGGGTGAGGTGCTGGAAGGACGGAGCAGTGGGAGCGTTTACGACCCTGGCGCAGGCAATAACGGGATCATCATCTATAGAGAGCTTAAAATTACTGCTAAAACTGATCAAAGTCATTCTGCTTTTTATGACCACTACATGCCAGCAGTCCAGCCCTTCTCAGTAATGTCAGCAACAACACATTCACCCCTGTCAAGGCAAACCGCTCCTGCTGACCCCCGCCCCAGTGTGTGCCACTGCGCCTCTGTACACCTGGACACCCAGAAGGCGCAGAGCCTAGGCAGGCTTTGGAAACATCTGAGGTCCCCGTGTTAGCCATCTCTTCAGCTCTTATTATCACCTATTCTCCATTCCATTCCTTTTTGTAAACCTAGTCCAAGTAGTACAAAAAAAAAGCCACATCAGTGTTTATCTTCCTAAAATTATATTTATCTGCAATGAAGATTCTCATCTCTCAAGTCTCAAATCCGGTTCCAGATGGGGCCGCTGATGTCCAGTGCTGTCACTTCCACATCCACAGGCTTACCAGGAGCAGTCCTCGCTCATCCTTTCCGGCTGGGCTGTCTGGCACGTGCTTGGTGGGGTAAACACTGAGGGGTCTTTAATGCCCAGCTCTATGTCGAAAAACCGTGTGGACAATATCACACTGTAATTTTTGGTGAAGGTTTCCTGAACAGGATAGCAATCCTTGACCGTATAAATGCCAATCCAGGTTTCATCTGTAAGAGGAAGGGAAGCTAAGTTTTTAATACAGAAGACAAGCAAAAGGCATATATTTTCTATTGTAGTAAAAGACATAAAATTTACCATTTTTAAATACAGTTAGGTGGCATTAAGTACATTCACATTGTTATGAAAGCATCACCATCATCCATCTCCAGAACTTTTTCATCTTCCTCAGTTGAAACTCTGTACCCATTATACCCCCCATTACACCCTACCCCTACCCCCTGGAAACCACCATTCTACTTTCTGTCTCTGATTTTGACTACTCTAGGCACCTCACATAAGTGAAATTATACAGTATTTGTCCTTTAGTGACTGGCTTATTTCACGTAGCATAACATCCTATGGTTCATCTACGTTGTAGCGTGTGTCAGAATTTGCTTCCTTTTGAAGGTTTGGTAATATCCCATCTATACACCAACCACCTTTTGTGTACCTGACTGTCTCCTGATGGACATTTGGGCTGTTTCCACTTCTGGCTATTAAGAATAATGCTACCATGAACATGGATTACAAATATCTGAGTCCTCGCTTTCAGTTCTTTGGGGTATGTGCCAAGAAGTGGAATTGCTGGGTCATATGGTAATTCTAGGCTTAATTTGGGTCAGGGGTAGGGGACCACCATACTGTTCTCCAGAGCATAAAGGTCTGTGTTTTTTCAAACAGTTTTGCGGGAGGTGTGCTGGCAGCATTGCCGAGAAGAGTTTCACCTCTACATATAAAAGTAGACACGGTAGTGGGAGTAGGTCTGGTCACTGCAACTTCGTTAGTGTTGTGGGGGAAGGAAAAGGAGGCACCCAACTCTAATGTGTGCCTTAGACGACTGCCACCTTCCGTGTCACAGACCTTGGGGGCATTGTTAAACATCAGAGCCAAGGCCGAGCCACGACATTCAACATGGCACAAAGTTACAGGTGGTGCTAGAAGGCTGAGGTGTTTCAAATGTGAGGCTTAGATCCTGGCCCTACCCAACTTGCAGAGAACGTGTGGGGACTTCAGAGGGAGTTAAACAATTAGATTACACTTACAAATTTCCTTAACAACTACCTTCCTTAATGGACTTTAACATTATTTCTCCATCATGCTTCCTGAGATGCAACACTTGAATATTTTTTGACCCCTTACACGATCGCGCTGACTTTCTGTCGGACCACTCCTGGACGGTGATCTGCTCCTGGGGCCCCCCTATGGAGTACTGGTCCTCAAAGGTGGAGTTCTGAGGAATGTCTAGAGGATCCCAGGGCTCTGTCAGGATGATCTTGGAGCACTGCTTGGTGACTTGTTCGATCTGAAACATCACTCCCTCCTTATAGAGCAAAATATATTCAAATAATCTGGAAGACAGATTAAAAGAGAATAATTCAGGACTTGATGTTACCATCACCATGCCTTTTATCAGCATAAAAGCCAAAGGACTTTGATATAAATTACTCTTAAAATGAAAAAAAATAATTGTTTTACTTGCTTGACAATCATTTACTTATTTACAAACACTAGGACCATGAACAACCTGAATATAAAATAAAGGTCAGAGGTCAAAACTGAATATTCATGAGACAAATTACTTATCCAATACCTATTAGATGACAGAATCTGTGCCTAGGATACAAACATGAGGAAGGCGAGGCCCTGGGTTAACAGCTGGTTTCTGACCTATCTTTTAGCCTCAGGGACACATGCCCTGGCACATCAGTCTAAACATTCATGGAAGGGG